TGACAAAACGTAATAGATGTTGTATCAGTATTCTACATTAATAATAATTGTTATACCTAGGAACTATTGTGATTGTAGAAGACAATGACCCTTATAATGTATTGTCGTGAAGATCTAGCATATACAGATAATAATATAATATAAATGTTATTCTTTAGGGAGAATTTATCGTCCAAGCTATTTTCTTTCTTACATGGTCACAGCTAGCGTCAAATACTCGTACTATCTTCCATTTTTTGAACGTTTACCATTGACAGTTAAACTGCACCGGTATTTATGAGACTTTGATTGCACTCTGAACTAGTTATCAGTATATGATGACTGTGTTGTACAAAATATTTTGGTGATATGTGTGCGACGTTTATGATATAATTCACATCATCAACTTAAAAATACCCAGTGCTGAGCAAAGACCTCTTTGCACACGGAGATAGTTTGAGCATTGATCACCTCACCACGCTTGCTCAAAGCGGATTGGCAATTTCAAACTTATAATTAGAAATTATAAGTCCACGTTTCCTCACGATGTTTTCCTTCAACGTATGTCAGTGGTGTAATAAAATAACTCGAAAAATTACATTGGTGCTTGCCAGGTTTCGAACCCGCACCTTCAGTACCCTCAAGTGAGGAGCGGAAGCCTCAGCCTCCAGGCCACTATGACATTGTGTGTGATATAATTGAGTGTTCAGAATATACCTACCCTACATGTATATTTGACGCTGACTGTACCATGTAAGAAAGAAAAAACTTTAGACGATAAATTTTATACTAATGAGGTTTTAAGTCTAAAATATGATGGTTTATGCGCGTCTATATAATCGAGTGCTTTATTTAAATGTCCTATATATTTAACGCCGCCAATATTTAAATGAACATCATTCATATTTCCAAGAGCGCTTACAAAACATGTTTCTCGAAGACGATAATGTGGGTTCACTCATTTAGTATGAGATTCATCTAACAAATTACGTGGCTATATATTATAACGTATATTTTAATTAAAATACAGACATTCTCATTACACAAATAACTTGTACAAAATCCGGCTTCATTAGAAAATGCAGCTAAATAAATTTTTTGACTGATTTGCCTAAAATATTGAATTGTTTAAAACAAAATATGTTGTGCATTGGTAGCAATCCTTCCGTTTAAGCAAACTTTTTTTGTGAGTGGAAAATCGTGAAGCGACTTTTCTAGCCCTAAGGTATGGTGAGAGAGATTGTCAGACTCTTACTGACTAAAATCTCCCCGTCTAATCTTCTGCTCCAGGCCAAGATCGCACTTGCTCCGCAACCTCGGCTGCTCATTTAAACATCTAAAATAATATTATTGAATGGCCTTGAACTTCATACGCAAGGTCAAAAATCCAGGTAACGTCAACTTTCTCGACATGCCGGTTATTCGGATTTGTCATGTCTTTCAGTTGACAAGATAATTGTGAATGTAACATTTTCCTTTGAAATGATAACTACGCATCAATTAATTCAGATCCGTAGTATGTACGAATAAGTTTTATTTTGTATTGTTTTCAGTTTACCTACATACCTATTTCTTATTCAGGGCGTAAAAAGACACTTAACGAAGCCGATAGCCACGTATTCTACCCATTATTTGGATCATTTTTTCTTTAAGACCATAGCTGGGACTCCACGGGTTCTCGAGATATTGAAGGCCAAAGATGCATTTTTAATATTTTTTTTGCGCAGTCGAATTCTAAGTATTATTACAAAACTTTTTTCCAAACAAACATTACCAGAATTTTCGATTTTTCTAAATAAATTACGCATTTGAAGTTACGAACAGTAATGTACTAAGGGTGACAAAAATGCATGGAGACCTTAAGGTCGACTATTGACTGACAGGTTTTGCATAACGCTACCATTGATAACTAGATGGCGCTGCTTTTAAATGAAAATAACCCTTCAAAGCTTGAATACTTTACACTGCAGAGGCACACAATAAGGTTTTTAATGGTTAAAATAATAATTAAGAAACAATAATATATTTATATTCAAATACACATGAATTATGTTAATTTTCTCATTTCCGAGGACTTAATATAGCGCCATCTAAGTCAAGTCAAGCAAACCAATTAAAAGATGGCGTCAATAATTAATAGTACAATGATAAGGTAATAGACAATAATAAAAGTTATAAACTAGCCCGCATTTTCGATATCATAAAAAATGCGATCGGTAGCTCGGATAAATAAGAATGATAGAATAATGAAGTCAAAGGGCACCGGTTCAATTCCGGGTTATCATTTTTAAATTCAGGTTTTTTAACAATGGTTTTTTTATATTTTTTTATATAAAATCAATAATAATAATAATATATAAATAAAATATTTGACGTTTAATATTTATAAAAGATAACAAAAATAAATATATATATTATTTTAGAATAAAATTATATTAATAAATATATATAAATAACTTTTATAATATGTGCTATCTATTAATGTAAAAGTAACATATTTTTCTTACAGATTAAGACTAATACTAAGTTTAATTCTCATAAAGGATAACAAATAAAACTATTTTAGTGATATTATAATTTCAGACATTTATTTCTCAAAACATAATATTTATTTCTTTCTTATATAGTGTATACCCTAACCTAATGACTTTTCAGCTAACTGACACATTATTTATTACACTTTTTATAAGATTAATAAGTATTTTAAATCAAAATTGTGTTGTGCTAGTCATTTATTAGTTAGTTTTAAACACAGTGTTATAATACGATTCTATATAATATGCAACCTTACTTCTGCAACTATTTTACCTCCCCATAAAATTTAATTAAAGTATTGACTAAAGTGATTCATTTTGTGCATCATGTTATGACAAAGGCTCATAGCTTAAGTATTCGTTCCAGAACAAGGAAGAAATTGAAGCTAGACCTTAAATCAATAACATTTCTAATACCGGGATATAGCATTCACTAGATATGGGACGAATTGTTTATAGTAACTAATAAATAAATAATTTATTATTTTGCAATCAATAGCATCTGTAGATATTAATATTGCTTTTATTTTTATTTCTCATATTTAGTAAAACATTAAAATCATTACTGTATAACAGTTGCTGGTTATAAAGTAGTCAATAAATTTATCCTACTAACATTAAGTTTGAACATTTGTCCATTAAATAAATTATAGCTACCCCGGTCTTGTAATTGCTTAATCCTATAGTTAACAATATCTTTTCTTTTAAGAACTAGTGTAGCCGCCATTTTTATCGATCCTATTTCTCCTATCTCGCTGGCCAAGGAATAATCCGTATGTCTGATTGCTGACTAAACACTTGCACATTACACATAGGACAATTGTCCTGCACGAACGTTATCACTAGCACATCTTCATGACGTCTTTCAGCACATCTATGTAGTTTTCACTGTTTGCATCACTGAAGATGACAATTCTCCAGTAATTTCCCTCATAACTTTGCCCCATAAGTTGAAGCTGGTCTGAGTCAATATCACGTCTTCTGCCAGATCCACTACGGTGCTCCAATGAACCCTCTTCTTGAAACAGCTTTAGATATCCATAAAGTGGCAGTCTTTACCTGTAAGGGACGTGTATTATTAATTATTTTCATGTATCGATAACCATGGATAATAAAATAAATAACAAACGGTCATTTTAGAAGAATACTTACGTTTAAGCCAGTTTCTCTAGAAATTCCAGTATAATTTAAGCTTTGATTATGCAATGCTATTATTTGGGCCCTCGTAGCCATATCAATATTTGAACGCAAACTCATAATAAAAATAAATATTAAAAACTTGTTAAACAAATCGTGACTGAACTCACTCAAAGATAGTAAAGAATGTTATGATTGAACAAAAAGGTTTAATTTTTAACTAGTTAATATTAAATTACCCTCAACTGTTTTGAGATTTATGTCGGGTTAAAGTTGCTAAACAACTTCAATATAATAAACAGTAGGATAATTTCAATACATTTCAAGGTTACGCAATGGCCGAATGGCTAGTGGCATCGGTTAATTTTAAGCTACCGAGTTCGAATCCTGGTTATTGCGTGCTTTGCTTTAAAAAGGTTTGGAATATCGTAGCATTAATTTGTATAAAAAATTATTAAGTTAATAACTTTGTATCTGATAAAAACTATAAATGTATATTTTTCAATACCACTAGTATACTAGCGCCATCTATGTCATCCATGGTATATAATTAAGGCGATGAAACGCCGTACAAACGATTTTGATTTGGAATCATCCATGCACTTATGACACTGATAGTACGTAATACATAAATGCAGACCCGCACAAAAAACATCGTGCATCTCAGTAGGATTTTTATTTTACAGAATTGTTTTGTTGTTGCGAAGTAAAACGTCGACCTACGTACTTATCACAGCGTTTTAATGCTAAGCTGTGAACCTACGCACACAATAAAGCGAAGCCCGTTTGCTTTACATTGCGCGCAATAAAATTATTATTCTTTTTTGATACCTAAAAATAAAAGTCGTTTCCCCGTGATAATTTTAGCGTAAAGCTACTTAGTTAGAACTGCAGTATGCGTAGTTAACGGCTTCGTTAAGTGTCTTTTTACAGCCTGTATATAAAAAGTCTACAAAATCATCACTACATTTCTTATTGAAAAATAATATTGTAGTATAAATAAATAACAAAGATTAATTATTAGTTTCTACGGCTTATTCGCACAATGTTAATTGGATTCACGACGTTCGCTGAATCATACTATATATCGCTTAATGCTACTAATATTTGTGAGCCCCTAGCGTCGCTTGAAAGTAGTCGAGTTCTTCGTCAGATAGTTACTTTAAAAAAATCTTTAAAATGTTGTATTTGTTCTTTAATCTCTGACTGAAAATCAAACTTGTTAGCTAGTCTTTTTTCCATTGTTGAAACTAATATTTAAGAATCAAAATCATCGAAACCGCTACGCAAAAATCCAATTTACACCAACAAGGACTTTTGAATAAAATAGAAACAACAAAATATACTCACACAAAATCCATGTACGAAACGTCAGGTAATCCGTCAGGCCAGGAGAGGAGGCATGCAGTTTTGAGAGTACCCTTTGACCTGTGAAGAGAAAATCCGACTTAGTAATTAAATTCTGCCTCTACTATCACCTCGGTTTACTAATCATGGTACCTAGAAACCAGAATGGTGTCTGAATATTGTAGGTTTCTGACTAATCTGTGTGCCTCACAAAACCATTTTCTCAGTTTGTTTGCGGGAACAGCACGTTGATTCTATAAAATTCATTTGATTTTGACCCTTGTTCGAGTGTGAAATGAGCGTCGAGGTGATGGGTAAATTACTTCATAGAATGCCACTTTTAACGTCGTATCATACTTTATCAATCAAAATGTTGCGGTCAATTTAGTTCAACTCGCAAGTGTAGCACTAGTGTACTACTCACAGCGGATTCAGATTCGAAGTTTAGAATGAAGTCTTACAGAATCACACTGCAGGACATACTTTTATATTATTTATTTTTATGTGATCGGATGAAAAACTAGCCGATGGATTATGTTATGGTAAGCAATGAATCAGCGCCGCCCATGGACAACGAAACAACGGGAGAGTTACGAGTGCGTTGCCGACCTTTTGGGATGAGGGTTTTGGGGACTTAGGGATTGGGAATTTAGGGATTGGGGGAGGGGCAGAATTAGTATAGGCCTTCGGTAACTTCGGTAACTGTAGTTCAGACATTATAAATATAAATAAATTAAATATACATTATATTGAAGAACCGGAATATCAATTTGTGGATCAAAGCGTTGTTTCGAAATATTGTGCTGATTAAAACAACAACAGCACTTCCACCAACTGTTCAAAGCGGGAATCGAACCCGCAACTAACGCGAACTAGGATCTGTATCTGTCTACCACCTTAAGATTAACATTCGTGGTTTAAAAGAAACTTTAAAATTTATGAAAAATAAATCTTACGTTCTCTGTTTCAGAAGAAATGAGAATTTAAATAAAACATAAAATACATATTCGAAAGCCATTAAGAAGTTTTATTACGTACATTTTTATTTTGTCTAACTATTCATCGCTGCTCAATTAGGTTGTGAGACATCCATTTTTAATGCGAAAACTTTTATTAACAATTTGGCAATGCGGTTAGTGGTCAATTAGACTGACTTTACTCAAACAATATAATTGTGTATATTTCAATTCGTGACATTTATTATCAAAGCTTTTATTGTGGTCACAAAATTATAACATTTATTGTGATTTTGCTGTTGTTGTATATAAGCATTGACGCCTGTGTATACCAGTTGGCAAGCAATGCGCTCATTGACGGCTGCAACAACAGAAAAGCTACCTTTTGGGGATTAGGGATTTTGAGATTTAGGATTGGGCCTCCGGTAGCCCCACTCACACTGCAAAACATAACGCTGTGTGTTTTTCACGCCCGTTTTCCATGAGACCGTGGTATCACTCCAATTTTTTTAATTGAATTCCATGGGGTGAAATAAAAACAGTACCAATGTTCTCAATTCAAATTGTTATTCCAGTCCAATTGTATTAACAACCGTGTATTGAATTCTTAATTGAATGAAAGTGAAAATTGAACCTTATGCAATGGAGTTAAATTGCTAACTACCACAATCACGGCGATGGAGCTTTATTGTTTAAAATATTTTTTATAAAAAAAAGTATTTAAATTTGGAATGTTTATATGAATAATAATTTTGTTATACATAGGAAAAATTTAATTTATGTTTTGAATATTCATTGTGATGTTTTTATAGATATATTCATACTTTTTATGGCTTTGATTCTAATATAGATACCTCAAAATTCGTATTAAAAAAATAATGTTTATAAATTATTAAATTCAACTACTTCATTTCTAAAACCAAAATAAAGATAGAGTATAAAATTCAAAATAATCAATTAATTTATAAAAAAACTTCTTTTTTCAAATACCGTTTTAAATACGGATATTTATTTCACAGTAGACATTACGAATGTGGCAGAAACGACGTGACATGCAGCGAAACAAAAAAGTATAGGAAAGCAAACGTGCCAACCCGGACGTGACAGAAAGCCAACTTAAAAAAAAAAAAAAAAAACGGTGAATAGACTAGAATAGTTTTAGTCCAAGAGCTGAATTTGAACAAAACGCTTAAGTAAGAGTTTTAGGGTTTCGTGGGTATTATTTTTTCTTGTGTTGAAAGGGAATAAATACTAAGTAATAGCTAAAGCGTAAGCTGTTCGGAAGAAGTTTTTTTTTTGTTTTCTGGATAACCCAATTCACCGTGGTATCATATTTGACTAATATATATTTTCTATAGGTATGATAATGTGGCAAACGATCATATTTGATTGTGGTAAGAAATCGGCGTTGCCCATGGGGATATCCATAGTAACACCAAAGGAATAACGAGTACGTTGTCGCCATTTTGGGGATATAGGTTTTGGAGATTAAGAAATTGTGGAGTGGAGGGATTGGGGGAGAAGAAGAATCGGGCTTCGGGTAAGATCACTCTGACGACGGAACGAAACGCTGTAACTGTTTCACGAAGGTTTTCTGTGAGGCCGAGGTATCATTCCAGTCGAACTTACCTATTCGTGTCGAAGCATGGCTCTACTACAAATTTTATATGTAAGATAAAATATAATATGTCATCATCATCAGCCTATAAATGCCCACTGCTGAGCAAAGGCCTCTTCTCACACGGAGATGGTTTGAGCATTAATCACCACGCTTGCTCAATGCATGTTGGCGATTTCAAACTTACAATTAGAAATTATAAGTCCAGGTTTCCTCACGATGTTTACCTTTACCGTATGTCAGTGGTGTCTAAATAATCATAGAAAGTGCGTATAACTCGGGAAAAGTCACATTGGTACTTGCCAGATTTCGAACCCACACCCTCATGCATGAGAAGCGGGATCCTTAACCTCCGGGCCACCACGACATAAAATATAAAATGTATATATACATATTACTAAAGCAATTTTCTTGGAAGGTAAACCACTTTTAATGTCAATAGCAGATGTCTCCGTTTATTTAAATCTAGAAGTATTACGATATACTTTTCATGGAACTTGAATATAATTTGCTTAATAAAAAGAATATAAAGAAGAAGGTTTCTCGGTATTCTCTTCTCATCAAATATGTTGACATTGAGTTCACATAAAATTGTTATTATTCGTTAATGAATATCTAATAACATGTCATGTTTGCTACAAAAACTTTGTATTTAACATCAAGGTAAAATTTTGACTAAATAAAATAAAGAAATTTCATGATGAATCCAATCCTTCCCCTCCCCCAATCCTTCATCATCATCAGCCTATAAGCGCCCACTGCTGCGCCCTCTTCTCACACAGAGAAGGTTTGAGTATTAATCATCACGCTTGCTCAATGCGGGTTAGCGGTTTCAAACTTATAATTAGAAATTATAAGTCCAGGTTTCCTCACGATGTTTACCTACACCGTATGTCAGTGTTGTCTAAATAATCATATGTAGAAAGTACGTATAACTCGGAAAAAGTCACATTGGTACTTGCCCCCAATTCTTAAATCCCCTAAACCCAAAAGGTCGACAACGCATTCGTAACTCCTCCATTGTTGCACGGGCGATGCCGATTGCTTACTATCATCAGTGTGATTCCGAATCTGAATCCGCTGTGAGTAGTAATACACTAGCGCTACACTTGCGAGTTGAATTAAATTGACCGCAACATTTTGATTAATAAAGAATGAGATGACGTTAACATCGACGCTCACTTCACATTCGAACAAGATTCAAAATCAAACAAATTTTATAGAATCGACGTGCAGGTAAAACGTTGGCACGTGTGCCGTCTTACACAAAAAAAAATTCATTCTTCAATATTATAATGTAACTGGAATTACGCCGTTATAGGTCAAAAACCTTACCTTGCATTATCTAAATGATACTCAGAACACCAATCGAAAATTGTAGTTTGTACGTTTTAAATGAGAACCTTCAGTCATAAAATCACATAAGTAAGGTGATTGACCTTGACATTAATAGAAAAAAAATATATTAACGTATCTTACCTGTATTCTTTTGTAGTTGAGTATAATAAGCAGGGTATCGCCAACAACATGCCACTGATCCAGATGCAAGCAATCATGACGAGGGAACATGTTTTTGACATCCTCGGTCGCATTGGACGAACAATGGCTTGGTATCTAAAACAAAGAAAAATAAAAACAATCAGTAATCTTTCAATACTACGAGTACATTGATTATCAAAAAAAGTGGCCTTAATATTTATAGCTTACTAGCTTTTGCCCGCTACTTTGTTCGCGTGGAATAGTGATTCCTGCAGGTTGGGTTAAAACTATCCTATGTCCTTTCTCGAATTCTAAACTATGTGTGTACCAAATTTCACACAAATAGGTTCAGTAGTTTAGGTGTGAAGAAAAGACAGAAAAACAGAGTTACTTTCCACTTATAATACTAGTTTGGATAAAAATTGACAAAAGATTAATCTTTTATAAAAAAAAATCTGGATGATGTGATGACAATATTTAAAAACTAACAAAACACGATTAAAGTTTAGACTATAAATTGAAATTCTACATTAATCAACATTCTTAGACTAAAAAATACAAAATTCAAAATATCATTGGGCCCAAAAATATAAATTGGATTTAAAAAGATCCAAGGGAGGGATCTAATAAATCCTTGTAATCTAAGCCTCATTTCCAGTCTCTAGACATATTACGATACAACTTTTCAAACTGAATTCCTATAGAAAATTACTTCTGAGAAATATCTCCAACATAAAATACAGCAGATGGATTTAATAGACTATCATATATATTCCTTTGAGCTACATTTAACATCTATAAGTAAGCCAAGTTTTCGACGAAATTGTGTATTACTTATATGTATCGAAGCTTGGAGACCTTATTCTTGGGTTTGAAGTGTAACCCCTACGCACTACCTACGAAAAATTTCGGCACGTGATAATTTTTATTTTTTTGGTATTTTGTATGCCTCGAGGCATAAAAAATACCTACCTTTTAAATTGTTAGTCACACGATATTTTTTATTCCTAGTGCGGGACAAGATTACTTTTTATATACATGTTAGAAAAAACGAACAAAAATGTATGAAAGTGAATTTAGTACAAAGAGGGGATAGTTTCTATAAAGAAAAACTAGAAAATTTCGAATATTAAAATCCAAACTAATTAATGTTATAAACGCAAAAGTATGCTGTATGTCTGTCTTTTTTCACGCCGAAACTACTGAAGCGATTTCTGTGAAATTGGGCACAGACATAGTTTGGAACTAGAGAAAGGACATAGGATATTTTTTAACAAAAATCTGCAGGATGTCAATATTCCACGCGAACGGAGTCGTGGGCAAAAGCTAGTCTAATATAGTTAGCCATTTGGCTAACTAAGCCATCTGTCGTACTTGCAACCACCTAACCAAATCAACGGTTACACAAACATTATATTAAAACTCATGCTGACATAAATATATAATACTTATGCAGAGACTACAACAATAGATATCTGTCAATGCAATTCAGTATCTTTTGTAAAGTCAAACATTTTTTTTTATTTATTAGACTTTACAGGCTATTTTGAATGTCAATCAAAACATAGAGATAATCAGTGTCAGTACTCTTACACCCGATTTCTGAAAGGCTTGTCAACGCTAAAATTAACTAATCTCCTGTAAAATCTCTTGTCAAGTCATCTGATTGGTTGTTGAAAATTTAGTTAACCAATCAGATGACTTGACAAGTCATTAAATTGATTTTATTATTGATCGACCTTTAGGAAACCGGGTGTTAGTGAAGCTATTTGCTCGTTTCAAAGTGTATTTTCAGATGGAGAAGAACGAGCAAGAAACTCACAGTTATAAATAAATCGCAGTCGCAGTCGTAGGTCGCAGTTATAAATAAAATCAGCTAAGTCCTACCCTTAAAAATATACAGTCGAAACGCTCGGCTTTTTAACACAGCAAAGCATTCACATATTGTAGGCACAAAAGTAGAGTAATATAAAAAAATACCAGCCATCCTATTTTATTATATCTACGACTTTGCATACCAGTTGAATAGGAAATATATTTCTAAAAGGGAATTCTAAACCATTGTCTATGGACTCCGATACGCATATGTATGCACCAGATATCAGTTACAAAAAAAAACAGCGCTCTGAAATAAAAATCTAAGCTTTGATAAAAACATGAAAATTTTCCACATAGAAATGCTGTTTTTGCGATTTTGGCTATTGAACAAAACTGTCAAACTTTTTATAAAAATATAACAATGTTGCGGTATTCAATTCGTGTTCTGGAAAAATCTTTGCATAATCAATTTTACAATAATTTGTTTGAATATGTAACACAGCTTATGTTTGGGAGAGCCATGCTTCGACACGAATAGGTCGGCTCCACCGGAGTGACACCACGGCCACACAGAAAACCAGCATAAAACAACCACTCTGTTGTGTTTCGCCGTGTGAGTAAAGTTACCGGAGGGCCAATCCTTCCACGTCAAATCCTCCAAATCGCTTATCCCCAAAAGGTCGGCAACGCACTCGTAACTCCTCCGTCTTGTCCATGGGCGGTGCTGATTGCTTACCATCAGGTAATCCGTTTGCTCGTTTACCGACCTATCACATAAAGAAACTAAAAAGTCAAAAATCATTTATTTCAATTAGGCCCCAGCGGGCACTTTTGAACGTCAAGCACCAAAAGAAAAAGAAAAAATATTTCAATATGTTTAAATTTAAACGTGTCAGTCTGTCTAATGAATGGTAAGTATGGAAATCTGTGCATAATATCTACATATTTTTACAGTAATTGTTTTATCTGAATATGTGACGCAGCTCAAAAGATTAATTAAATAGAGCAGATAATTCCCAAACTTAGTAGGTACCGTAACTCATTCGGTTCGGTGTCCTTGAAATAACGAGTAAGATTTTGACACTCCCCCTCCTCCTCCGGGTTGGAGAAGTCATTAGATAACTTTTCTCTAAAAATTAAAAAGGTATCTTACCCTCTCTAACTACTCGTCTTATCCCTTAAGGTTTTTATTGACGAAGGGGACGAAGTCGCTAACTTTGGCCAGAACTGATTTAGTGGATAAAATTTTGAACCGACCCAGCTTAAAACAATAATTACATTCTACCAGTTAGCGTTCAATTTAGAACTAAGACTTGAAAATGTGATAAATATTTCATTTGTAAATAATATCATAATATGGCACGTAAGTTATAATTTGAAAATTTTACTATTTGTTTTTCTTATTACACAAAATATTTTTAATTAAATCGTAACAATCTTAGCAATTTATTTAGGTCTAAATATTTCAACACTATAATGCTATGATAAATTAACGACATTCATTGTTCAAATTCAAAATCTTAAGTTAAATAAATAAGATACGCTGCCAGTTAATTCATGAAGCTCATTTGTAAAGATTAAAATTATCAAATGAATATTTTGATGAAAGGATTAAATATTAAGTACAATAGACGCTTTTATTTTTCTTTTTTTGAGTTCTGGAACAGCCAAGCTGACACTGATTTTAAATTAGTCTCTGAATCTTCAGCCAGTATGTGCACACTGCTGAGCAAAGGCCTCTTCTCACACGAAGAAGGTTTGAGCATTGATCACCACGTCTAATTAATTATTATGAGTCCATGTATTCTCACGATGTTTTACATCACCGTATGTCACCTCTAATAATATGTAGAACATTTTAATTTGAAAAATGTCACATTATTTTGTACTTGCAAGGTTTTGTACTTATTATTGTTTAGCATGATATTCAATATTGTGTCTTTTGCTTAGTTTTCAAGTTGAACATAGAAGTCCTAAGTAGCTATTGTATAACCGATATCCTTATATTTACATCAGTATTATGAAAGTAGGTCCCCTTAGAATCAAAGTCGAAATCAAATCATTTTTTCGTAACAGAACAATACAAGGCACTTTTGAACGTCAAGCAAAATAGTAAAATGAAAAAGTAAAAAGTGTCACGTCTGTCAATCTGTTCTCCAGTGAAGCTTATGGCGTTTGGTCGTTTCAAAGAATACATTTTTATGGAGAAAAACGAGGAGGGAATTCCATCTCGTTTTCGCAAGCTGGCCTAGTTACAAACATTATCATATCTCGAAATCAGCTAATGTCAAGCCAAATTTATATCATGGTTTCAAAACAATAAATAACGTATTCTAAGCAGAAATCATGACTGAAATCTGCACATTATGATACGTTCGAGGACGTAGTTACGAGTAGGAGAATCAAATATAAATTCACAAGCTTCTATATCATGCAGATTCTCAAAGAGACTTCGCGCAATAACGGCAAGATATTCCCTACCTTCCTTAGTAGTAAATAAATAGAATGGCAATATATTTTTCTGCACAAATTCCGTGTGTGACATACCTACGAATTAAGTGAAAGGTTAATGTTTTGAATTCCACAATTTCTTTTTAAGAATTTGCTACGGTTTAATTAAAAAGACTGGCATTCCTTTTTAATTTAATTGTAAATTTAAAAAATGGATACTATAATTCGAACTCTTTGGTACTCATTTTCGGATCAATATTTACTCTTCTCTTCCATTTTTGAATTTGAAATATTATCGTATTTATTATCTCGTTGCTAATTACTAATGGAAATGACTCTGTCATTAGTCGATTCCTGTGAGTTCTCGAACAAAAGCAAATCAACCAAATTCTCCAAAAATTCTTCAAGAGAGTGCTAGCTAACTGAAAACCCCCGCCTCGTACATCAGCAGCGTACGACATTTTCTGTGTCGGCAAAATACAAGTGTGTGCAAATAAGGGTTCATATATAGTCGTAGTATTGAGCTCTCTTTTTCGAGGCAATTTGACCGTGCCATTTTTATTTCCAGAAGTATCTTGGGTCTAAAAAACTAGTATGAGGGGTTTGATATTCAAAATTCTAATAAGCACAGTGTATTGGGACCTGAATTTTATGTTAATAATATGGGTACCTTTTAGCTGTCTGAATTTGATATAATTGCAATTGTCAGACGAGGGTCCGCCAATAGTTTCGTTTTTACAATAAAACTCTTGTTGATGTTAAATGAATAGAGAATCTTTTTTTTATTTGTCTACGTATCTATATACATATAATAAAATCGTAGGAAAGTCAAAACTGTACATTGAATATATTTTTGAAATAATACTTGGGGCGTGATGTACAATCGATGCTGAAGCCAAAAATATGGTTTTTAAAATTTTTGTCTGTTTGTCTGTTTGTCTGTTTGTCTGTATGTTTGTTACGGATAAACTCAAAAAGTACTGCATGGATTAAATTGAAATTTTGCATGAACATAACTGACAGGTCGGTTCATCACATAGGCTACATATTATCACGCTATCACCTACGGGGGATGAGTAATGAACCTTTATATCTGTAAACCTTACTGAAGCAGCATGTAGTGTTACCTCATACACATTTAAATTACGTTCGTAAGCAGGTTGTTTGACAGGACGTGCTATCACAAAACTAGACACAAAAAAATGAAATATAAAATAAAACATAGACTTATATTGGTAAAATTGCTGCTTCGGAATTCATACAATATTTTTGTGTATAATTATAAATATAGGTGTGATGAAGAACTAGCATTTTTTTTATTCATATGCCGTTACGTTTTTTTCACGTTGAAAACGTATTCAGTCGTAATTGAGAAATTATTATTGTTTTCCATATAAAAATGTTTCCATTTTTCTAACTAGATGGTGTTGGCGTCGAATTAGATCGCGCTATGGTTTCGTTCACAAAAAGTGATGTTATGAGTACCGATGTCGCCGCTTCAACCTATAGAAACGAGGGTTACCTGCGTTGTTTATAAGTTATCGAGATTCTCAAATTATTCTGTTTACTTCGTGTTAATTTGTCTTTTAGTAGTAAAAATGCCCAGAAAGCGGTCTAATCTATCACAATCGTCATACCATTCGCGAAAAAGAAGGTTAGCTCGATCCCTTGATATCTCGCGTGTTCCATCTAAAGTTGAAGTGTCTCATGGATCTCCTCACAAAGGCAAAGGTGTTTGGTGCAGTCCGATGCTAAATGTATTCTGTGGAATGGCAAAAACGCGGCTTGCCACACGCTAACCTGCTTTTGTGGCTGGAAGAGAAGATCAGACCCAACCAGATTGATCAAGTCATAAGTGCTGAGCTCCCGGACCCTGACATCGATCCTGTTCTGCATCAGATTGTGAGAAGTCACATGGTTCATGGCCCCTGTGGCACTTTAAATCCAAGTTCCCCATGCATGAAAGACGGACGATGTACAAAAAGATTCCCGAAGAAATTGACCAATGTTACCATAACAGGTGAAGATGGATATCCTTCATACCGGCGCTGACCACTTGCAGAAGGCGGACATTTCACTGAGCTGAGCTTACGTGGCCAGGTGCAACGGGTCGACAACAGATGGATTGTTCCATACTCACCTGTTCTGTCCAGGACCTTCCAGACGCACATCAACGTCGAGTCGTGCACCAGCGTCGAGTCGATCAAATACATCTGCAAATACGTCAACAAAGGGAGCGACCAGGCGACGTTTGCTTTACAGAGCACTGGGGGTGTGATTCTGTAAGACTTCATTCTAAACTTCGAATCTGAATCCGCGGTGAGTTTCTTGATTGGCATTCTAAAACTCGATTCCTAACTCGAATCTATGCTAGCGCTACACTTGCGAGTGTGTTTACGAGTTGAACTAAATTGACCGCAACATTTTGACAGATAAAGTATGAGATAACGTTGAAAATCGTATTCTATAATGTAATTGCCCCGTCCCTTCGACGCTCACTTCGAACTAGAACAAGATTCAAAATGTCAAATTAAAAGTATCTATTTTACGAGTGAAAATGGAAGAAATAATAGTTAGATAGTGTTCAAATTAAGTTTTGAAAGTAACAATGTGAATAAGTGCTTACCTATTAAAACGATAACGATGGCAAGAATGTTTTTGGTAAAATCTTTGTTAGAAGAAGCTCATGCTTTAGATAAACAAGAAATGCGTCGACAATCTAGCACCATTCGAAGTTTGTCTTTATTAACCTGAGATGACGACTATGTGAGCGTGTATGTGCAATGGAGCTGATTGACCAACTGGAGGATGAGGCCTTTGATAAATCCCACAAAACGGCGAGGCAAAGGACTTTGGTATGGTATAGTTCATAACATGTATTACCTGTTAGTTATGTCCCTACTTCAGAATATATAAGTCTAATTACTAGGTTTTATTTATATTTGATTGGTCGGAAACGGATTACCTGATGGAAAGGATTCAGCGCCGCCAATGGATGGTATAGTTCATAACATGTATTACCTGGTTAGTTATGTCCCTACTTCAGAATATATAAGTCTAATTACTAGGTTTTATTTATATGTGATTGGTCGGAAACGGATTACCTGATAGAAAGGATTCAGCGCCGCCAATGGATACCCGCAACAACAGAGGGATTACGAGTGCGTTGCCGACCTTTTGGGGATTATGGATTTGGAGATTTTGACACACATTCACACGGCGAAACACAACGCTATGGTTGTTTCACGCCAGTTTTCTGTGAAGCCGTGGTATCACTCCGGTCGAGCCGACCCATTCGTGCCGAAACATGGCCTTCGCACACTTAAAATAGTATAAGTACTAGATAGTCATTCGATTTTTTTCAGGTGATTCAGGATATGCTCAACGTGCCTACTTTATGACACCATTAGTGGTGCTGAAGCCAATTCCCCAGAAGCATTTTAAAATAACATACATGCATATTACTGCTCGCAATTTTGAAGAGAGGACAATTAGAGACGAAATTATGTACAATAAATTGCTGAAGTTCAAAAGAAGCAAACTAGGAATTTGCCATCTAATACAGGTTTAAATCTAGGACGTAGGCAAAATATAGTGCCTCAAAGAGCCAATAGACCACCACAGACGGAGCCCTACAGGGCTGATGTTCAGCCACGGTGGCGGGGCAAGCGCAATGAGGTGCCACGGTCACGGCCTAAAGCAGGAGAAGGAACGGGGGGGTTTTAGTCAGTAAGAGTCTGACACTATCTCGCCTTACCCTGGGCGGGAGAAGTGATATGATGATTTTCCCCTGACAAAAAAATATGATTATGATTTTATTTAATTTTATTTTGATTTTAATTCAATTAGGGTCTTGTATGATTTTATTTTTTCCACATTTTTTTATGCGTGTGATTTCATTGTTTTATTACATTTTTTTCTTTTAATTTAGCCTTACGAGCCTAATTGTTAGACCCTAGTTAATTTATTGTATCCCATAATTGTTTGAATATACAATTGAGTTAAAATCAAATAAATAAATAGTGATATGTGAGGATGGGTCTTCAACTAATAAAACTGCTAGTACTCGTTAAAATTGTTTAATTTAAATATAAAAAAAAATTTGGTTGAAACGTCTTAAACACTAAAACACAACTTCGTTGTTACACCCTATCTCGATGCATGGCCTCTGCCAATGCTCACAATCCATTCCAGATTGAAACTACAGATCCAGCTAAAATTTAATTATTCCCTAGACTTCTCTTCAGAAATGCTTGCAAGATCTGCGCATTTGATATTTGTAAATTCTTCCAATTGATTTGAAATCGTCTACTCTTCCACCTTCAGGAATCTCTCTGTGATGTTGGAGAATTCCGTTCGCCGTTGTGATGTTGGAGGAGCAGCAACTGAAGATGTGTGACGTGATACTGAAAAGAGAACACCGATTAATATGTGCATTGATAAAAACTCTTTAACAAATTGCAGCTTTTCGCTGTCGTTTGTTCCAAAAATTAAGTTCTTTCTTCAACCTCTGATAGCTCAACTTCATCTTCCACCACACCAGTCCTGTCCTGCGCCTAGCTGCTAAGCTTTTTATGGCGCTTTTTTCTCAGACCAATACTACAAGCAGACATTTATATTAATAAAGAAGTTATTAAAAAAAGCCTTACTTTTTATTATTATTAATAGTCAATGTAAAATTAAAATAAGATAAGTTATATAACCAAGGAGCACGCCAAGATTCATCGTTATTTTAAGTGACTTGCATTAAGGAATATTAAATGGTTTTAACATGCCAAAGTAAGCACTACTTACTTCACCTTGGTCCTCTGTTTATAAGTTTTGAAAGTGCCATCTATACCATACAGGCACAGGCACACGGCTAGTTCCTTCCACTAGCGCCGATTTCGCTCTCTGGCACCTTGAGTTCTCAAGAAACCCTTCGCCAGCCAGGTAAAACCTGTGATGACGACGGGTGTGAGGAACGTATCTCATTTGTACTGAAACATTATGGTTTGATTAGAAAACAAAATAAACACTCTATAATAAATATTATTTTTGAACTTTACAACCAGTAATAAAACTTACTTCATGTTTATGATCTCTCTTTTTATCGGCAAACACGGAACAGAAAAAATATACGAATAAACCAAACGTGGACAAAATAATACAAAGCAAATGACAAAGAGTTTGTCAACAATGAATGAAGACATTATCTGTCAGTTTCTTTTTGGTAAACGAAGCACAGATTATATTCATCGCCTGAATTTACAGTTTTCTGTTTATTTTGTAATAATTAGCTGCCTAAAATTCCTTAAAATAAGAAATTTCAATTTATACGTCATAATATCTAAAATTCTGTGTCAAAAACTTGTTAAAATAAAAACCGATAAATCTCGACTTACATTTTGTGTAGTGTGGTACTACACTAGTACAGTATTGGCCGATTCGGAGCTCACTCCACTTCGCAAGTGCCTAGGTGATGCTTACAGAATGCAAAATCAACGCCATTTTGAACCTTATGCGAAGTGAGAGAGAATGTCGACTTGACATGCGAGTTCGTGTTAGAATTTTATAGAATCGACGTGCTGATAGGGACGAGGTGGCCAAGTACCAGTCTGGTCGCTATATCAGTACGTCCGAAGCGGTTTGGCGGATACTGGCGTTCTCTATACATGACAGGTATCCTACGGTCATGCATTTAGACGTCCACCTAGAGAACGGCCAGCGGATATATTTTGATCCCGACAACGTTGCAGAGCGCTTGGAAAATCCACGCCAAACAACGCTCTTGGCATTTTTTAGGCTCTGTGAAGTCGATCAGTTCGCGAAGTCGCTCACGTATGACGAGGTGCCGTCGTATTATACATACGACAAGCAAAGAGGTGTATTTAACCGACGTCGACGTGGAGGTGTAGTGGAAGGTTTTTCGGGCATTTTCAAGAACACCGCATAGGAAGGTAGTTGAGGCCGTGGATAGAACCCTGCAGGACATCCGCTGGAACGAACACTTGATGGGCGGTGTTACAGTTCTGTTTAGTGGTGATTTCCAACAAACGCTTCCCGTGGTAACGCGGGGATCTAGGGCTGACGAGGTGAATGCTTCGTTGAAACGATCTGCGTTATGGTCACGCGTTCATACGCTGCGCTTGACCATCAATATGAGAGCTCAGCTCGGCGGCAATGCACGCTCTCAAGAATTCTCTGATGTCCTTCTAAGTCTCGGCGACGGTACTCTACCAGAGAAGAGGGGCGGACAGGTGGTGCTCCCAGAATCTCTCGGTAGAGTGGTATCCACCTTAGATGAACTCATTCGCTGCGTGTACGGGGATATCAGTCGAATACCGCACCAGCCGAATTCTTGGGCATGCGAGCGGGCCATTTTGACGCCTAGAAATGATCAAGCTGCAGCAATCAATGAAAGCATTCTCTCGGAAATTAAGGGGAATGAAGTGGTGTACACCTCCATAAACACCGTAGTCGAGCAAGATGACGCCACACACTATCCGGTGGAATTTCTCAACTCCCTCACAGCAAGTGGACTTCCAGCACATAACATCAAGCTGAAGGTTGGCGTCCCGATCATACTTCTTCGGATCCTGTCTCCTCCGAAGTTGTGTAACGGGACCCGCCTTAAAGTCATCTCACTGCATAGAAATATTATCGAGGCGGAAATTTTGACGGGTTGTGGCGTCGGCGAGGCAGTGTTTATACCACGCATTCCCCTCATACCTCATAACTACCCCTTCCAGTTCAAGCGCGTGCAGTTACCTGTGAGTGTTTGCTTCGCGATGACTATCAATAAGTCACAGGGACAGACACTGAAGGCTGCGCTATGAGAACTACAAATGTAGTTTATAGAGACATTTTATAATTGTGTTTCTTTAAATTCTGTTATTCGTGGGATGTAGGAATTAAACCATATTCAAAATTCGCCTGCGCTATGAGAGGTACTCATGAGGTGAAGTTATACTGCAGCGCCAACTGCAAGGGAATGTGATCTTAAAAGTTGCTCACTAAAAAACTACACTTAAAATGACGCAGGCATAGTATTTTTGGTGCTTCACGGCGTCCGCGCGGACGAAGTCGCGGGCAACAGCTAGTTACAATAATAAAAATGATGAAAAAACTAAACAAGGCAACGTAACACGTAGAAATTTAGGGCTTAGAGACTCTTTGTTTGAAACCTCTGACTCACTTCAAGAAATGACAGGCTGGATTTCAAAAAAAAAAACAAAAGAAAATTATAGGGCTCAAAACCAATGATATAGAAATAAAAATGTGATAAATACTTCTCTGTAATAACAAAGTACATAAATATAACCTAAAAAGTTTTACAACTTCTTATAAACATTTTTAC